CTGAGCCAGAAGGAAAAGGGAAAGGAAAGAACGGGCCAGAGGTCATCAGCTCTGGTGAAGAGAATGAAGAAGCGAACAGCGACCCAACTGGTCCCAAAGGAAAGGGAAAACCCGTTCCCGAACCTCTGCTACCACCGAGTCGAGGCAGCGCGGGTTCTTCAACTGCCAGTGGCGATGGCCTTGGATCTTCAACCGACCGACCAGTTCCTAGTGGAGATCGCCGGCAGTCTTTGGGAAAAGGAAAAGGCCAGGGGAAGACTCCGGGCGCCGCTGAGGATGACGATGATGATTCCTGGGGAAAATGGACTTCTCAGGGTTTGCATGGAGCTGGAGAACCGGAAGGCGAGCCTCCAGCTGAAGACCATCCACCTGATGAGGAAGAAAATGAGGACTATGACATCCATGCGAGAAAGGACCTGGATGATGGCTCGGGAACCAAGCGTCCTCCGCCTGATGGTGGGTCCTACAGCATGAAGGCTATGCGAGTCACTGTGGATGCGGCCATGGCGCCGTGGGAACTACCTGAGTTCTCGACGCCTCCGCCGACTGGGAAGAAGGACAGATGGGAAAGTTCCTGGATCCAACGTGGATGGCTTGTTAGAGTCCACAGGGATCCAAGGAAACGCACTTTCCAGCCAATCCACCGTGCCTCTCCGGTTGCAGGTGGAGATCTTCTTCCTCTACGTGTGACTGTGGGCTTCGAGGAGGACACCAACCGCCGCTTTGTCAAGACGGACCGCTGGGATGTGGAGCCAGTGAACCCCGCTACTTCAAGGTGGACTGGGTGGACCTTCTTCCGCCTCAAGAATGAAACTGGGACCGTGCATGATCGCACTGTGTCTCGGAGCTCTGGTGATGATGCTCGTGGAGAAGGGCATCGTTTTCACCTACCTGAACGTGACGGAGCTGGAGGACCGCATGATCGTGGTGAGCTTCAGCCTGCAGTTTTGAGGTTGCCTGATGGAGCCGAGGGGCATCTTGGGCTTCTTCCTGACCTACTTGGTGGGGAAGAGAACCGTGTTGATGTGAGCCGGGCGGCTACGGCGAAGTCCTACGGTCCGCTCCCAACACCAAGAGCACCTGCGGTGAGGCCAAAAGCACAGATTTCAGCTGGTCGACGAGCTCAACCGGTTTTGGCTGACCTTCAGCGTCGAGATGGCCTACCTCCTGCCGAAGAGGAACTGAGCGATGACGGCAGCTGGAGTGAGGTCTCTGGGGAGACCTGGTGAGCGCTTTTGCAGCTTTTTCCTAGTGCTGCTGCGCCAAAAGTTGTTTGTTTTAGGTAGCTGTACCTCAAAATGAGGTAGGGGGAGTGTGATTCATGGAACACTCTAACCTCTAGGATGTACAGTTGCTGGTATGCCAAGGTCCAAGGTGTAGAAGGGTGAGCTTCGTTTTTACAAGCATGGCCCCTGCACTAAGGATGAAATGTACATGGCTAAACGCTCCGCTACTTCTGATGGCTCAAGAAAAATCCGTGCTGCAGCCTATGGGGTGCTGCAGGTGACCACTTTTAACCCCCAAATATATAATATGTATATTGTAAAACAATGATGTATAAAAAACAAAGATATGTATGATACCCATTGTATAAAAAAAACAAAGATATATATATATATATAATATGTATATTGTAAAACAATGATGTATAAAAAAAAACAAAGATATGTATGATACCCATTCATCCCAGGCTCACCAGAGCGCCAGGAACATGGTCAGTGATTTGGTACCGGATGGCCTTTTCCCAGAGTTGCTCCGTCGGCTCCGTAAATGGGGGATTGACCCGGCCTGGTCATAGAAAAAACTATGGAAAATGGAACATTTATAGATGGTTTTCCCAGCGAACGAAACCTCTAAAATTTATGGTTGGGATTTTCCATGGCGAACTGTTAGTCACAACCAGATGGTAATAACAATTTATAGATGGTTTAGCTATTAATAGCATGGTGATTTTCCATGTTGCCATAGTTAAATTACCGGGTGGTGAAAATATGGCGATGACCTGGGCATACCGAGATCTGGGGAGATTTCATGAGATTTCACTACTTGGCTGTGGAATGGAAAGTGCTGCCCCAGTTGGCTTAGTTGCTAAATATAGCCAGGTTGAAGGAAACGAGGGATACAATGAGGATAGCAATGGGCATAGGGATAGTTTACGCTCCGTAAACTTTGGCAGCGGTGCAAATTTGTGGGGCCCACTTGAATCAGGGGAGTAATTCATGTTAAAAGGGTCTGAATCTATAAGGTGGGTCCCCCAAAGATAGGAAAGGTGGATTTATGGTGGAGATTCATTGGCAGTTCAATGGATTTACCGGAATTGTTCACAAACTTCCATGTAGAGGATTCTCTGTGTAACTATGATTTATGATTTGGTATTCATATTTGGCAAATATTGAAATGGGGTACTGTACCACCTTGCAGTAGTTTGGGATGGGTTTATTTCTGGAATGGGAGAAAAATTTCAGCCATGGGCCCAGGTTTGGCTCAAATCCTGGGTTCTTATACAAATTTTCTCATCCAAACCATGCCTCGAAGTGGTTTTTTCTGAAAATTGGGCACCCTAAAATTTGATGATTTGCCGAATTCCCTGTTATAATTGGCAGGATAAAAAAAAGCTGCTTCCCCAGTTCCCCCATGTCCCATCCAAAACGCTCAAACCGGGGTCGTACCCCTGAGACGACCAAAATCCTCGTGTTTAACCTGGGGATTTTCGTGAGGTTCTCAGGCGATTTGCTGTCACAGATCACGATCTCCAGACAAAGAATGCTGGACACCGTGCAGAACATTGCTGACGCTTGGCCCAGTGATATATATATATATATCATCATCATCATCATCATCATTATTGTTATTATCATCATTATTGTTATTATCATTATTACTATTATTATTGTTATTGTTGTTATTATTTTTGTTGTTAGTTTAATAAAAAATATTATTATATATACATATACACAATATTTGTATGTATATATACATATTTATTTGGTTACCATAGGTTTTACCATAGGGTTAGATGGGGCTGATAAGGCACTGGTTAAAACTGGGATGCACATCTAAGTAGGTGAATGAAGAGAGGGATGAGAGTAGTAGAAGCACAATTGAAAGTGGGGTGATACAGCAGCATGATACAGCTAAAGATATTGACAATAGGTAAAAACAAAAAATGGGACAAGTATACTTTACCCACATCTTACCACGATATGTTGCTAGGATGTTGGTAGGATGTAATCCGTTACATCCCATCCAAACTGACCCGCTGGTAGGAACATCACCGAAAGGACTGCCGGCTGACTACCGTGTGAAGTGGGTCGGCGTATCGCGTTGTGTTTTAATGTGAAAAACGTCTGCAATATGTGGCTTAAACCATTTATGTTTGTTGGTTTGTGTTAACCTATCTATATAATTGGTTTAATATACATATTTAATCACATGTGTGTATTTGCCATAATTTTATCAACCATGTTGTAAACCTGGGAATGTTTACCCAGAACCTATCCTTGGAGCTGACTGCAACTCTAAGGTATCTTCCTGATCCGAATTTCCTGACAGGGTGCCCCGCGTTAAACTAAGATAGATGTGGAAAGCCCATGGTTTCCCTAGGGATATGATCTACACATAACAGGTGTTCCACATCTATGTTAACTGACCAGAGGGTAAGTGGTGAATAATCATCGTTAATAATCAATTACGCTTGGTTGAAGTGGGTTAATAGATGTTAATAGTCATTGGTGATCCCATATACACTTGGGTTAAAATATGGGATCACCAATGGCTATTAACATCTATTAACCCACTTAAACCAAGTTTACATGGGATAACCCCACTGAATGCGGACTGTAGAGCTTCTCTGTGGACGGTGAATGTCAACCAACAGAGCCAGCAGGGCACAAGATTGCAAGGCATTCGTTTAGACCAAAAGAACTCAAACTGTAAAAAGATCTTCGTTTAGTAACCTGGGTTTGTTTAAGGTGATGTTTTATTTTCCCAAGAAATCCACTACTCTGGAAATCTATAGGGAATATGTGTCACTTTTTGGATAGCTAGGTTGGTTTATAACTCCAGTAACTCTGCTATGGTTCCTTAGTTTTTGAGGGATACATCTATATACAATGATATTGAATATGACATGTTTAAAAGCAACAAACATAACCTGAGTGCTTGTGGTTTTAAGTTTGATTGACCGGGGATCGGCGACTGTGCCAGAAGGCATGTCTTTTTCGAGAAGCTGCAGTGGGAATGTGGCATAAATACTCGTGTATAATGTGGGTAATACAATGCCATAAACCATCCCCCAAATCTCCATAGATAGGCAGTAAAAATCATTCTCAAATGGGTGATTTTTTTATTTACCCACATTAGTCGACTATATGCGCCCATATGTGTGATTGCTGCTTGTTTTGGGACAATATGATATGATTATGCGAGATGATGAGATTTCATCAAGACAAGTTTGGAATAGTTGGATACCCTTAGATGAGAAACTTCTGAGTGAGTTATAGTCGATTCCGGCTTTGCTTCTGCCGTCCCAACTAAATTCGAGCCGGACCATAGGACCCTTAAGTCGCGAGTCGCCCGGGGCCATGATCACTTGACTTACATTTGCACCAGAAATTCGAATGAGTTATGGGTGCAAAAATGGTTTAAACACTGGACAGTGTAAATGGTTTGCAGCAGATACATGCAGTTTGCGGCAGCCAGTGGTTCGAGTTGGGCTGAGCGCTGCGTGATGAGGGCGGTACTTTGGGCTTTACAGCGAACGCTGTAGTAGCTATATAGCACCTGGTCCAGTGTCACATTACGCCAGTCATTTGTTCTGGTTGTGGCAGTTTCATTTTTGGCTCCCTCCAAGCCAGTTTAAACATGGTTAAAAACTGCTTATTAACACAATGGTTAAAACCCTGAATTTTTGGTCCGACATGTTCCGTTGAACGACGCTGACAAGGCCACCGCGCCACGCCTTGCACAGGAGTCAGTGGAATTTCAAGTTCTAGTGGGAGATGCTGGTACCGACAGTTGCCCGAAGGAACTGACATGTTTGGAGGGTTTATATGATATAGTTTAAGGGGAAGGTATACAGGCATCTATACAAGATGGTGCCCCCGGTGAAGTTATGTTTATTGGTTTATAAACCCAATGAACTATAGTATCATAAACCGTGGTTATTGGACGTGGTAAACCAACCTTTGCCTCAGATTTCCAGGTCTCCAACTGCATCAATGTTGGGTTGTTATTTCTTCAATGGGAGATCTTCAGGATCCAATTGATGGAGGTACGTTAGTACCATATTTTGGGCCATATTTTATGGGGATATTCCCTGAAAGATAGGCCTTACATAGCCCTTACATAGGCCTGAAAAATAGGCCTTATATATGGTAGGTACCTCCAATTTAGGATCCTGAATTTCCCATTGATATATTGGGATATTTGATGTAAACGACCTGGCTCTAACGTCACATGTGTGATATATATATATATATATTGATATATGATATATAGTAACAAATGGGGCGTAAACGACTTGACTGCAACGTCACTAGCAATGATGGTGAATGGTAGGGGGAATCATCTTGGTTGAATCTGAACTTGTCAGGCAAATGGCATAGTTTATGCAGATACAACATAGGTAGGGGGTAGTTGTAGGCCCACAGTTAATGCTCAACTAACAGATACATGGGATGAAATAACTCCTATAACTAGTTGGTTATATATCATGAAATAATCCCAGACATAACATTTCAGGACACGGCAATAGGCTAGATATTAGGATACTCAGACACGTCGTGTTTTTCTTCAGCAGGACTTGAGCAGTGATGACCTGTGGGACCTGTCGCCAATACAGGAAATCAAGCCGTTCAAGTTGATGGTCTGAATTTCAAAGTTTAGCCGAATCTTGCTGAACATGAACCCACGCAGATTCAGTAAACTCTTGTTCGGCACGTCAGTGGGTCAGCCAAAAGCTGAACATGTGCATGGTACTGACGACTTTTCGTGATTGAATGGAAATCACACTGTGAAGTCCCTCTCCTTGATTTGACAATCTATCAGTGGCTATAGTGGAGGTTGTCCCTTCCCAAAGTCGTGACTTGCATGGTTCAATCTAGACCTTGGACTTCAGACAAGAGATGTCCATTTCTCATTTGTTCATAAATTCGACAGGTCAACCTCACGTTTCCCAGTGAATTGATGTGAATTGGATGTATTTTTTTGGGCTACTGTTTCCAGATCAACCCATATGTGTCGACTTCTTATGGAAGGTGACTCCGGGTTGAACCGCTCCAACCATCGCCAGCGCCAGCCCCGAGGTTATAAGCCCGCGCGCGCGCTGTGTCGCGACCTGCAAGTGGCTGAAATCAGGCGTTGCGGTGCGGTCCCAATCCCATCCTGATATTTTCGAAACACACCCATATGGTGGTCCCAAATATGTAGCAATCCCCCACTAAAGCATGTGTTTTTTGAGGCTATGGATTATTTGACCAATTTGGTGGTTAGGGATCGATTCGGATCAAGATGGCAGCCAGGGGAGCGATAAAGTTGTCCAACCGACAGTTGAGACATGATTTACAACACTGGTTGGTGATGGTTAATCTATGGTTAATCTATGGTTAATCTATGGTTAATAATGGTTAATAATTGGAATAACAATATATTTGCTTGGTGGTTTGGAACATTGCTTTTGTTTTTTCCCCATATATTAGTAATTTCATGATCCCAACTGACGAAGTAATATGTTTCATAGGACTGTAGGTATACCACCAACCAGAACATTATTGATCCCCATTGTTCTTACCATCTCTTTGACTACCCATGTCTTGGATATACTGTAATGCTTTGAGTTCGTAAACCCTTCGTCGACTGGGATTACTACAACTATGATATACCACAGCAGCTTTGGTAACCTTCATGATGATGTATAATGCGTGTGATGGTCATGATGCTTATTGGTATTAAAGCTCTGTTGGCTAAGTATTGTAGTGTATCGCAAGTATTTTATATATCCGGCCGTAACTATGATATACACAATGGCCTGACCCTGTCCATGATGCTTGTGTAATTAACATTCACCTCGAACTAGCCTAGAACATCATGTTTGCACATGTAAAATCGCTTTGAGCCCCATAAACAGCATGTTTTGAACGGCACGGAGGAGCAGTATGTTTCAGTATCTTTGTTTCAACCCTCATAGAACCCCTGAAAATCAATGAAGTATCAACTTATCAGCCCAAATCCTTAGAGAACATATAACGAAAAATGGAGGTCTCCTAAGTCATCGGGGTACCCCCAGTTATCATCCATATTTTAGTGGGATTTTCCATGGACAAAAACAATCCAGCGAGCGACCGGGGATCGTCCATGGAAAGCCAGGCCCTTCAGGACAGCAGCCGGATGGGGTTTTGGTGAACCTGCAATGGCTCAAAATATCGAAGGAATTTTGCACAAAGGAACATAAGGAACTAGAAAAGTAGACTTTTAGAATCTTTTAGATGTGCAAATTTAGCATAATTCTAAAAACATTACGTTATAAAGTTACCTTAGAATCTTTTTTGAAAAGAGTGGGATTCGGAGCTTTCAGGGTTCCAAGCTCATGTCAATGTGGGATTGTAAGATGCAAACCATGGGGTTAGATAGGGTTAGATGATATCAATATCCACAATAGGGTACGGGATGGGTCAGAACCTAAGGGAGCATCGAATGGATGAACATCCTACCCATACCCAATTCTTGGTCTCGGGAAATGCTGGTCATGTACACTTCCGTTTCTTGTGGGTTCCCCTTTTCCAGAGGATTTTTAGATGAGCTGTCACCAACGACGTAGTCACACCCAGCTCCCCAAGTCATGAATAGTAGATCGTTCCACCAAGGTTTCGTCTGCTTTCGACTCAGTTGTAGATGAGAACGACCCACTTAAAAAGGCTCAGCATTAACCAAGGTTGGTTCTTCAGGAGTTCGCCCCCATGTTCATCTTACATGTCTGAGGTATGCGATTCCCCACGACATCGATGCGGAGGGACACAGCACCTCATATCAAGCGGTTGGGTATGCCCTCAGTTTTGGACATGAGCTCCTTCAACTCAGGTTAATACATCACTTAAATTGTTTTTTTGCCAGGTATAACTGTCAAGGGCCCTAGCTGTATGGTCGTACCTGAATGTATGGTGCTTGATAGTAATTATTGCATTTCCTTTTACCACTGGGGCATTTCGGAGTTAACTGTTGGTTTGCCACCAGGGTCACTGAAGAGAACTGCAGGATCTATGTGGGCTACGACAGGAACCAGCACTATCACAAGTTCACTGTGGGGAGCCCAAGGTTGTTTTGCATTCATCAGTTTTTGACCATGAACATTGGTGAAACTTGGTTCTCGTCCTGATCACGAAAGTGAAAAAAACAAGGAACAACATAGACTCTAGACAATTCATGAAAATTCCTAAGCAGCAGGCAACGGCGTCAACGGTTTTTTCGGAAAACCATGGATTGTCCTTCAAAGAACTTCTCGAAAAAAGGATTTCCAGACTTTGGATTTCACCGAAACTTCACCACCAACCCATTTTTTCGCATGTGGATCTTATCAGCAGAACCCCAGTCAAGGGCCCCCTCGCTGTGACGTTCGTGAACGATCCCTCGGACGTGCATAGGAAAGGGTAAGTGCTTGAAAATCTGAGTTGGACCTCACCAAAAAGCAATGGGATCTGAAAGCTTCTTTTGATGAATAATGATGAATAATCCCAGCTGGTTTGATTTTGCGGACTCCAAAATGTGTTTCTATTGTGTCCAACACGTCCAATCAACAGCTAGTCGAAAACTCCTGTTCGGAGCTTCCCCCCACGATGGCAATTTTGGGGCATTTTGGGGCATCCCCCAGTTTCGGACCCCGTCAGTTACAGCCCTGAAGAATCCGTATAATCCGTATATAACTGTTGTAAATGGGGTTTGCACTCCTGCAACTAAAGTGATATATTACTTCAATGGGCTTATAAGCCAGTTTTGGCAAACTCCAATGTGTCTCTCATTGCTGTTCCATTTCGAGTCGCAATACCCGGTCAATACCTCTGTTCTGGATCATTCTGTGCCTACTTGTAGCCAGGCCACATAGGTTGGCCTCTGGAGCGCAACCCATTTGTGGCGACACTAATCAGTAAAACAAAATACTGTAAACAAGATTTTCAACCATGTAGTATACATAATGTATTCAACGGAATTTGCGGAAAACATGGCTTAAAGATAGAGGGTTGATTGGGAAATGGTCTTCCCCAGACCCTTTGTTTGCGATGATCATCCCCGTTGATGAAGATTTGTAGGGAACGGTCGTGTCAGCTGGTGTTATTGGTGTCGTCCGAAATATCCAATCTAATCATTTTTTTTCGCGATCAATATGTGTTTTGTTTGGTTTTTTTTTGGCCGTCTCCCATTTTCACATCCATATTTTGGGTATACCAATAGACCGCCATTAAAAGAACGTATGGATGGTGGAATGACTTCACCCCAGCTCTGGCGAACCCTCCTGGCCACAAAAGAGCCGGGGCTGATAGACTTGGAACGAACTCAGCTACCATTTTGGCCCCCCAAGGTAGGTAAGTATAGGTAAGTTGATTTATGTTCAGTAGATTTACTATAGTTGATGATAGTGATATACTAATCCCTTAGAGCCAAGGTAAACCAACAGAACTGAACTGCGGATTCCCACCTTGTAGCTGTTGACACGTTCACCATAAAGATCATAAGACATTCCAAATTTCCTCAACTGATCTATCCTCCCGGGCATCCTTTTTTCGACCACACCGAGGATTACATCGTGCAACACGCACCTTGTGATGTTGGCATCATCAAGTCCGATTCGGAAGATCCTGTAACGAGGCTGGCAAGGAGTCAAAAAGATCGGTCGCATCGTGCTGGCAAGGACAAGATGGGTTCAGTTAAAGCCCGAAAGTTACAAATGATTATAAATGGTTTATAAATGGTTTCTAAATGGTTATAAATATATGGTTAAAAGTTGTTTATAAATGGTTAAAAACGGTTATACATGGTTTTACATGGGGTTCTAATTCCATAAATGTTTATTATAACTGACTTAGGTAAAGGGCCAAAACTGCTTGGGATGGTGCAAAGGAAAGTTGGAGGTGTTAGTCCTTAACGTTGAGAAGGTTCTTAGAACAAAGATGTCTTTTGCAAATGGGGATTCTGTTTGGGATTCATGTTGCTGCAATGAATGGCAACTGGTAGGCTTTCCAATCACAGCATTCTGAGATTTTGGGGGCGACATTTACTGCTTCACGTGCCTGCACTTGGGGCATACAAAGGATCACATGTCGGAGTGCGCCTGGCGCGCTGAGCTGGGAAACAGTCCTGGATGGTCGCCCTCACTCTCATCTGGTGAACCACAAGTGGAGGGACCTGCTGACACGTCAATTAGATGGGGCCTTGCAGCCACTGTGGAATGTTTTCCAGCATCAACTGAGAAAATGTTGGACAACAGCACAAGCAATGCAGCGGCTATTGCTTCGCACTCTGGAAGATGGGTACAAAATGTCCTCAAATCATTGTATGATTTTCTGGAGATGGCTCCATCAACTGAAGTTACCCAGTTTCATTTCAATCCTCTTTACCCTTGACATTGCTTGGCTGATGATGGGTGGGGTGGAACACTAGCTTGACCCGCCACCTTTTTCTCCAACGATGTTATGCTTGCTGAATCGTGTTGTCGAGAATGAGTTTTTTTGGATCAGCAGATTCCAGCATGAGACCGGCAGATCGAATGTCACCACTCACATAGAAACATAAGGGAACGCATTTCCGAGCTGTTCATTTTAAGCAGTGCATGTTCAGTGTCTTGCCTAATGTTACCAAGGTTTCCAGTTCAAATTGCCCCTTAGAGTAGCCCAACGATCATCATATTAGCATATGTTATTCTTCAATCCCAATTTTATGATTTCGCGCTGAATTCTAGTTGCTTCCCTAAAACCAATGCATGATGCAAAGCTCGTTTTTGGCTTGTTGAGGTTATGCGCGAGAAGCTCCAAGGGTCAACTCATCTTTAGGGATTTGGTAGAGGTGGGGTCCAAGAAAATAAGATAGTTAGATTGACAATGATTGACATATCTATACACTTAAACCATCTTAAACCCCTTTACCAGTTGTTTTTTGATCCTTAATGGTTATAATGGTGTTATCATTTCATGTTCTTAGGGGTGGCTTACTGACTTAAAAGTGGTAAATGGCCAAAAGTGTAGATTTGTTGGATATGTGTCTGACGGATACACATACATACACATAGTGTATGTGTATATATATATATACATATATATATATATAGATAGTCATATCTAAGATAGCTACAAATTTGGTGGGTATATCTATAGTTAGATGGGTAAACATAAACCCGGGGGCCTGAGGGGCCGACATCGTAGGGAACTACAGTACCATGCACGTTTTTATCCTCATTGGTGTTGATATCCCCACAGGTCAGAAGACGTGGTATACTTTAACGATCTCAATAAATCCACTGATGCGTTCACTCATGAATCCTCTCGTGAATCAGCGGGCGATGCCCCATTTTCAGTCACGCCTAGATGTCAATATAAACATATAACATCATTTTTAGGTAGAACACATGGACATGATACAGAAATGATCATAAATGTATATGTAATATATATATATATATCCCCGTTTTATCCCCAAAGATGTCCTAGGTAGCGCCTAAACCAGCCCCTGTGCCTTCGCCGCCAGGTGGGTGGGAATTTCCAGCCGCAATTTGCGTCTTGGCGAGTCACCAAGCGCAGTGAATTGAACCATTCAAAATAGCTGGTTGGTGGTTTGGAACATTTTTTTCCATCTATTGGGAATGTCATAATCCCAACTGACTTGCATATTTTTCAGAGGAGTGAGGGGTGGGTATACCACCAACCAGATAGCCATGAAAATGTAGGGATATAAGCGGATACAACTGATAAATGATGGTTGATTGATGATAGTATGGGATAGTATGGGATTATACTACCGAATATATTGGGGGTTGTATCTTTGGTAATTGAGCCATTAAAAATACCCCTCTTGATTGCTTGTTATAGGGAATTATACTACCTGGGGTATTGGGGATCATGGGTCAATCTGCGTTTAGCTTGGTTTTTAGAGATCATAGATGAACAGGTTTTTGTAGCTTGAGACCATGATATGTGTCTGGTATGGGAGCATGAGTTCATAATGGAAGTCCACGATTTACATTGGGGTGATGGCGATGATTGCCAAGGCCCAGGCTAAAAGATGCTTCAGTAAGGCGAGTGTTCCCTTACGGGATTTCAAGTGTTGAACTGACCCAGTTTGGTACACAGTGGTGATCCCTAGATTAGGTTGAAGTCGGCGTATTACTACTATTACCCATCCAACTATAGATACATCCACCAGAATGCCCTTGGAAAACGCTAGTCATAAACCAACTTGGGGTACAGTATGGTAAATAACTAGAACAACTATTGGGCTTATGGTGATGAAATAAATAAGATAGATGGGTAATAAGCTCACTTTGTAATTGGGGGACCACCTTGCACTATACAAACTAGTGACATGATATGACATGTTAGTGCGAAATAACTAACGTATCTATCATGAATCCGTGTTTGTTACTAGTTAGATGCTGACTGTGCCTGCAGTTGACTTGCCCATCAACTTCAGCTAAGAGGCTCATGCTAGGTCGTTGATTACCCTTAAAAGTTGGGAGTTTCCATTGCCAGCCATGTGAAATAATGGGAGGACACCCCACAGCCATAAGATCAGTAAATCCCTTACCATCTGGTTATTTAACATAGGAAAATCACATTTTTTAATAGGTAAACCATCTATTTCTATGGGCCATCTATACCATGGCTATGTTAGTCATAACCAGAGGGTAATAACATCCATCTCCAGGTCATTTTCCATTGCTTAAACCACCGATGAGACGGCGACGTCACTGGAATGATTGTTTAGACATGGGGAATCATCCCAAACAAAAACCGAAAATTCGCATAGTTTCAGGTCACTCCGCCAGAATGACATAGGATGGATCTATTAACATCAAATTACCATCACATATACCCTTCAGGTAATCAAACATGACAAGGGACAATTAAATTGTTTATTTATATATATATAGTGTTAAAACATATGCTAAAACATATGTTAAAACATATGTTAAAACATATGTTAAAACATGTAAAAACCTTCATTTATATTTGGCTTTCCACTAAAACCTGGCAATTTCCATTTAGTTGTTTGTTTTGTCCATTGAAGAACCTCCATTTGAAGCTGATCAATCCGGTCCCAGGAAAGCCTCGGCTGCAGCTCTAGCCCGTGCCTTTCACGATGCGCATGCGGGCGATTTGGTGGTGCCTCGGTGGATGGAGTGAACAGCATTGGTTGGCTACAATGTGGTGCCCCGTAGTTAGCTAAGTTGGTTTATAACTTCAATAACGGTGGTTTATGGTAGATATATCGAACTAGTTAATGGGGTTTATAAACCAATTTATAACGTTTGGGGGGCCACATTGTGTGAATAGCTCTGGAATTTGGGATTGAATGGCTATTTCATTGGAATTTATGATTACAAGGGTCATTTAATGGGAATGGGGATGTTGTGATAATATTGGTTCACAGTGTGAAGTCAGAAGCCCAGAAAGGTTAAGTTCAACGGCCATGTCTACAAAAATGCGAAGTCCCATGTATCAGGCCGATGTAGGGGATATGCCCCTAAAATATGGCATGATGATCATGATGTGGTACAGTACCTCCATTCTAGGGTCTGGAATTTCCCATTGATTCAGATGGTCACCATCTACTTGCGAAGATCCTCCAAATACATTCAAATGTTCACTGAAAGCCTCCCCTGAAAAAATAAGTGCAAATGGGCGCATGATCTTGGGAACGTTGGAGAAGACACCTCGACTTTCTTTAAACCAAATGAAATTGTGCATAAATATATGATTTACCCAATTTTTGCTTGGTACCTAAATATCATTGCTGGAGAGTATATTCAGGGTCCAGGCATATATGTTCCAAGGTTGAAGAATTGAAAATTATATACATATATATTATTTATATATGTATATGTATATGCGATGGCCATAAAAGAGATGGCCATCCCCCCATGAGTTCATATACAAATTAAGCACGTGCTTAATATGAATCATCGGCAGACTCCCGTTCCGAAACCCGGTCCGACCACCTCGCTTTACGGGAATTGGATGGTTCTCAAAATATCATGCAATGTGGTGCCTCATAATTAGCTAAGTTGGTTTATAACTTCAATAACGGTGGTTTATGGTAGATATATCGAACTAGTTAATGGGGTTTATAAACCGATTTATACCGTTTGAGGGGCCACATTGTATAAATAGCTCTAGAATTTGGGGTTGAATGGCTATTTCATTGGAATTTATGATTACAATGGTCATTTAATGGCTATTCAATGGGGATTGAATGGGGATGTTGTGATAATATTGGTTCACAGTGTGAAGTCAGAAGCCCAGAAAGGTTAAGTTCAACGGCCATGTCTACAAAAATTCGAAGTCCCATGTATCAGGCCGATGTAGGGGATATGCCCCTAAAATATGGCATGATGATCATGATGTGGTACAGTACCTCCATTCTAGGGTCTGGAATTTCCCATTGATTCAGATGGTCACCATCTACTTGCGAAGATCCTCCAAATACATCCAAATGTTCACTGAAAGCCTCCCCTGAAAAAATAAGTGCAAATGGGCGCATGATCTTGGGAACGTTGGAGAAGACACCTCGACTTTCTTTAAACCAAATGAAATTGTGCATAAATATATGATTTACCCAATTTTTGTTTGGTACCTAAATATCATTGCTGGAGAGTATATTCAGGGTCCAGGCATATATGTTCCAAGGTTGAAGAATTGAAAATTATATACATATATATTATTTATATATGTATATGTATATGCGATGGCCATAAAAGAGATGGCCATCCCCCCGTGAGTTCATATACAAATTAAGCACGTGCTTAATATGAATTTTCGGCAGACTCCCGTTCCGAAACCCGGTCCGACCACCTCGCTTTACGGGAATTGGATGGTTCTCAAAATATCATGCAATGTGGTGCCCCATAATTAGCTAAGTTGGTTTATAACTTCAAAAACGGTGGTTTATGGTAGATATATCGAACTAGTTAATGGGGTTTATAAACCGATTTATAACGTTTGAGGGCCCACATTGTGCATATTGTTGGTGATACATGAACCAATCCTTGTGAAATATCCATATTCCATGAAATATCACCACAATTAATTCATTAGTGGTAGTAATTGTCCAACAATATAGTGTTGGGGATACCACTCTTCTCCATGAAATATCCATATTTCATCCCCTTTATTCTCGCATTTACCTTTTGAAGATTTAACATGGCTATGGAAGATTGTCCATTTAAAGATGATTAAACATGTCCAGACCAACTTCTTAGTATACCAGAGGCAAACACCAGATGTTCGATGCGATGACCATCACCATACAGTTATCGCCCTTAACAGTTACAACTTATAACTGGGATTCCAATGATATACAACCAACTAGTTATAGGAGTCATAACTCATCCCAGTTAGAACTGTTTCTTGGGCCATCGCCTCAAGCTCAGGTGGCGATCCATTATCCCGTGAATCCCTTCTTAGAGATCGGCGGCTCCGTAGCCTGTCACGTCGATGCGGTTTCAGGTAGACATGTGGCTTGGGTAGTCCTCTGCGCACGGATGCGCATGAAATCATTATATTACCTCTAGGGCTACTTATAAGGGCAATCATTATATATATTAACTACGGTGTTTTATGGAATATAATGGATATATGAATTTATCCCATAAAATACCATACTTAAAATACCACAAAAACCCATGAAATACCATACAATAGAACTTGCTAACTTCTCCAAGTTGGATGTCAGCCTTCACAGGTGGCAACACCGGCAACACCATGTGTAGCACGAACGCGCGTGAGGGTTGCTGCCGGCAGCTCCATTGCGGACGGCGATGCACTCCTCCGGTTCCAGACCCAGCATGGTCAAAAAGCACACCCGGACTAGGCCCGCAGGCCCTGCGACCTTTCCAGCGTTTTGCTGGAGGACTCTGCAGGAAAACTTTGGGATACAAAAAAAGTGGCTCATTACTTGATGAAATGGCCACAAAAAGGGGCATACCTCATTCTCAGACTACCCAATAAAAATATTGGTATTTTTACCTATTCTAAGAAGGTAACTGAGGTTTAAGGCATACTTTGTGGCCCAGGGGTTAATCCATAATTAGTCATCATTAACCCTATATTATAATTGTGTATGGATAATTATGATCATTTGGGTTAATCCATGCAGAAGTAGGGTTTCCACTAATCCATTTACGATGCATTTCCATCAGCTTTTTTCAGTGGTGCCACAAAAAAAACGTTAGCTAACTTGGTTTGGGATAACTAGATTAAGCATCGTTTATTGGTGTTTATTCGTGTTTAGTGATGTTTATTGCAGATAACTCGAACTGGTTAGGTAACCGTTAGCAAGTTGTAACTGGAGTCATGTCCAGGTCCAAGCCGACCTGGAAAGGACAATGTTCTCACTTTGAATTGGAACAATTTCTACTGTGCAAACTTGAAATTTACCTTGGAGGCTTTGCAATTTTTAGGAGAAGCAAATATCTCACCTACTTGCAGGTGCATCCCACTTATTCAATGGTTTACAACCCATATGTATATATACATATATAGTCCATACCTGCATCTTCAAAATGGTGCTAAATTTCTGCCTTTTGATCGAAAAATAGGTTTTCCGAAAGAACGACATTTTTTTTGCGGAACGGCGTTTTTGGAGATGTTCCAAATAATTCCAAAGATATGATTTTGCAACGGCGACATTGCCTGACCAAACGGCGACATTACCCGACCACATGGAGAGACATTTTTACACCGGCATTTTTTTTGCAAAAAAAAACTTTTCTTTACAAGAGCGACTAAAATTGATGCCTTTGGAACAACGGCGGAAAAAAGTACCACATGGAAGATGTATAAGTGGTGATATGTCCATTCAGGACTATAGGGCCCTGTTAACATGGTTGAGAGTTCTGACTCGGGCGATGCCAAAATACTGGTATTTCAATTGTTGGTGAGACATGATATGACCCTATTTATTTGCCATTAGCCGATTTCAAACCACAATTGAAACAGAATGTAAAGCATGATTCGACTTAGATTCAACAACTGCGTGCAACGACGTTTAAATGTAACAACATGTTTTAACCATCAGAGTGTTGATACAACAAACAATTGACGGAATATTTTTTTGAGTGATCGTTTCACCATATGTTATGTATGATTCAAACCACATATTAACATGTGTGCCCATATGTTATTTATAATTCAAACCACATATTAACATGTGTACGCTGTATTGGCCCCAACCTGTTGATTTGTCTCATCAAACTTGAACGAGGTGTATGAGGCGCACTTTAGCTCTGTCTGTGACGACAATTTGAATGTCGCTGGGCGCGCTTCAGCCTTGGTATTTGGCAGTGGCTAAATTGACTGGTGAACGATTGTTTGAATTCTAAATCATTTTTGTGCTAGCAATCATAGCCCATCAGTTTTGTTTTTGTAGATCGTTTACAAATATATGTAAATATGCCCTTTATTACAAGGAATTGCTTGTATTTGCTAATTTTTGCTCACCCTTGAACAATCTATGGTTCTGGTTCATTGGACTCCGGCCCTGGTCGCGCACAACACGTTCTGGTTCAAGTTTGCCATCTATAGGCGGACAGAAATGCTGGATCTATGACCCACAAGGACCCGCAAGTACTGGCAAGTAACGATAGTTACAAGCAAGAATGCACCCATAAAAGTTGACTGAATGGGGAATATTTTTTGTCACCGGAAGACGAAAACAAATTACAGCTTGAGTCAGACCAAAAAAAACGCATTCAAACTTGGATGGTCCATGGTGCATGAACGGAAACTCATTCGTGAAGACTTGCCAGAAACAAATCTGGTCAGGAGCCAAAAGCAAGATTCTCGCCGTGCTGACCGATAAGAAAACTATATAAACCTGATCAAAGTTTGTTGAGATGTTTTATTTGTTTTTTGTTTACAACCTAATCCAAATGGTCAAAAAGGCAATGCTTCAACCATTGAACCATGAAGATCAAGTAGTTACCCAAACTCGCCATTGTTTAATTGTGGTCAATTACAATGACTGGTTGGTGGTTTGGAACATTTTGTTGTTTTCCATGTATTGGGAATGTCATAATCCCAACTGACGAAGTCATATTTTTCGGAGGGGTAGGCATACCACCAACCAGATGACCATATTGATAACCATAGAATATTAAACTATGTCATAGATCCAGCAATTTGTAGAATATTATATATATATATTATACCGTAGTAATAATTATGGCTAATGACTCAATGACCATTTTGTTGAAGCACCATGGCATCATTAATGGCATCCATGGCATATCTTCGCAACGGATGCGAAACCCGAGGTGATCATGGACAGCGCCTTGACACGTGTGATTGAATCCAGTCAGCGCGTGGCGCAGGGGCACTGCAAGGAGAGCGTCCAGGATTTGGAACAGAAATAGCCTCTGGTTAATTTATGGTTCATATATGGTTAATTTATGTTTCATATATGGTTAATATATGGTTAATATACTGCTCAAAATCACAATTGATTTACCTTTTTCCCAAATGCTGATTTTCCAGTTCGCTATGTAAACGTTTACAAGGGGGTATGGTGTTTCAACTGGCCCAAAAGAAGAAACATGCTGATCCAACTAGCAAACATGGTGACATAAGTTGATTTAACTTAAGTAAAAACTGAGATTGAACCAAAACGACGGTGATTCAATAGTGATTCACTGTCAAACATAGACGTAATCTCTTATATAGCGGCTTGTATGGGAAACTCCTCCCCTTATACTATGACCATCAAAGCACTTTTAGAGATGCCCACCAAACACTGTAAAGGGATAGGGCCGCGCAAAAAGTGATCACCGATAATAGAAATTACTGCGATGATAAGGACGGGATATAACTTGCATTTGCACCACTCATGGTGGCTACACTTGATCCACCCCTAGCTATAAGTTGGTTTATAACTCCAACAAAGTACAGATATATCTATTTTGTATATCTATCAAAAAGCATGGTGAAATTGGAGTTATACAACTTAGCTCTAATGAAAATCAACCGTGAATCTCCATGGATATGCCCATTTTTTCTCGCTTAACTCACCATTTTCCTATGGTTTTCCTATGGGCACCACGAATCCGCAGGAGGGCGTCCGTTTCCGCGTCTTCACGGGAGCCGAGACGCCGGAACCGCACAAGCAGCTGGTGGGCGATGCCATTGCAGGCGATGTGGGACGTGTCTAGAATTCGGTGGGGCTAAAAAACAACTTAATTACTCTATATAACAATATCTATGATAATATTTATTAATATCTATAGTTGGGATAATAAAGCAAAATACTATGATTATTTATATATATATGGATATTTAAACACAACTATGTCTATAATTCTAAAGTAGCGATATATATCTATGATTGGGATGGATCTATATACGATAATAGTTTGCATCTATAGTTGTAGAGATTCCAGTAATAGTTGGGATGTATCTAGAGACGGACTTATGATCCAACTTACAAGTGGGGGGGGTTCACTTCAAGTGGGGAAGGAGTCGTTAGATGGTTTAACATGGTTCAAAACCATGGGGCTTGATTTATGGTTAATGTTTTTCTGATAATTATGTCAGGATGAGATTTACTGTACATGTGTTTGTTAGTTGATGTTTTGTAATGATTTATGTGTTCTGGTTCTTACGGTTCACCCATAGAAATTAGGATTTCACCCTAACTGGTTGTTGATGTCCCTTTACACCCCCACTGGGTGCTGGGATGATGATCCCAATTGACGATGTGGAATTCCTTGAGGAGGCTGCTCACAGGAGTGGATGGGTTGTACCAGCTGGAGTTTCCTGTGACACTTCCCTTTGTTAAACCAATGCTGCAGTTATAGCCCTTAACAGTTATAACTGGGATTATTTCATGATATATAACCTTAGTTATAGAAGTTATAATCCCATTTATAACTGTTAAGGGCCATCAAGGCTGGGAATCAACTCTGCAATCTGGTGTCCTGATTCCCAACTTATGAGGATCATCGTGGAAACCCTGGGGCCCCAAGCGATAGCTAAGTTGGGTGTACGCTTGACATCGCTTGACTAGGGCAGGGGGATAAAACGAGAGTTGATGATTTGGTGGGCTTCAAAAACCAACTTAAGACTGCGGGGCCGGCGGGGCCCCACCTTGAATGTATTGGATCTATTCATCTTGGGGTCGTAGTCATGGCATTTATCAACGGAGGTTTCGAAATCAGCCAACCTACTTTTTGGTGTTCCAGCAAAAAAAACCATCCAGCTCTTGGGGTACTCCAATCCCAGATGGATGGGTATCCCCATACCTGAAGTATATAATTGGATGGTTCATATTAAATATTGTATGGTTCATATTAAATATCCCAATAATTGGATGGTTCATTATGAATATATCCAATTAAATATATCCAATTAAAGACAATTAAATATTAAATATTAAATTTGTCCCCAAATTGTCTTTAATTTTGACCCATAGCCGGCCATAGGATGGGTATCATGGTACCCAGCACAGGTGTGGGCGACCCCCAAATCCTACGACCACATACCATCTACGTGGGCTACAACGAGCGTCGTCACAGGACCCGGGCGACCAAGTTGGAGGTGCCTGAGCTTCAGGCAAACCCAAGTGGGTGAAAGCAATCATTGTATCCCAGTTATGTATTTATATATATATATATACAGTATATACATATAGTGTATACATATAGTGTATATATGCATATAGAGAGTATATACGTATAGTATATATATATATATACATATAGTATATATATATACATATAGTTTTATATAGTACATATATATAGGGTATATATATATAGTATATGTATAGCATATTTAAAGTATATATATTCAATATATGCATATATATATAGTATATATATCATATTATATAGTATATATAGTTTATATATAGTATATATATAGTGTATATATATATATATAGTATATATTTTTTTAGTATATATATAGTATATATATACTATATATATAGTATATATATACTATATATAGTGTATATAGAGTGTATATATAGTGTATATATAGTATATTTATATACAGTATATATATATAGTATATATCTCTCTCTACATATATATATATACACACTTATACATTATAGATAGTTCATGTATATGTATAGTATATAAATACACATACTTATATCTGGAATATCAGTAGTGAAAAGCTATTTGGCTTGCATATGCGTTTATCATTTGCTTGCTAACAAAGATTATAATGGTATGGTATGTGGTACATCGGGTAAAGCGAGCCGGGGAAATTTGCAAACCCCATGCTTACAAGCAAACTTGAAGTTTACAAGTGGTTACAAGGTAGTGCCCATACTAAGCTTGGCCAGCTAAGTTGGCTGATAGCCAATGCAACTAGGGTGCATGGTAGAAATATCTACAGTGAATGGGGTTCGAGAAGCAACTTATCACGTCGGTATTACCGGTGCAAACTTGAGGAGAACATATACAATAAGATGATATAATAATATACATATATACATACATATTTATATTTATATGTTTCATGTATATACAGCTTTATACTTTTTATACTGTACTTATAGATGTTAGTGGTAAAGCAACTTTGCTACCAAACTGGGGCACCACCGAGTATCCATTTCGGGGATGACTCTCTTCGAAACATGATGGCCACCTTGCAGCAGCCCACCTGAAGGAACCCGTGGTGCAATGTATTGGATATCACGGGGATTCACGGGAAGGGAAAACAATGCACACATACCATGTTTATTTTTTACATAAAATTATGCTTATACAGTTATACATATTTTTTGTGTTTTACATGCATATATATATATACTGATACATATATTTATATATATATGCATATATACATATATATGGTCAGCGTCCCCTCTGGGGCCTACCTTTTGGTATGTCAATGATACTATCTGACTTATTGAGTCCTAATTGGAAAAAAACACCGTAAAATACAGTGGACAAATGACACATGTGATATTTACTGCACACATGCATTCTAAAGTTAGAGCAATAAACTTGCACAAAATGGAGGCCAAAATTTGGCCATATTTTAGATCAACAAGAAGCAATTCCAAAAAAGTATCAGGAACAGAAGTACAGCAAAAACAGCAAAAATCGATATTCTGAGTCTCTTGTCTGACACATATGGAGAAAAGGCGATCTGAAAACATCAAAAAACCTTGGAAAACTAACAAAAAAAACATAGCAAATTTCGCGTTATTTTGCAGAACAGGGGACTGTGAGAGCGCGCCTTCTCTGCACGTGACTTTGTTTTAAAATGTTTAAGAAACTTCAAAATTCACTTCTTACATCTTCTTACCAAATTTTCACTTTCCATTTTTTCTCTGCATTTTGTCCATCTTAGTTTCTGCTTGAGAGACATATTGACCACCAGGCTGCGGTGGATCATGGGGGGTTGAGCGATATCCTATGAGTTTATATGTATATATGATATATGTATTTAATATGCACGTGTATATAAGGATTTGCTTGACTATTTTGTAACTTTAATCATGGTAAACCCGAGTTGTTGAAGTGACTTTATGAACTAGGCCATACTTAGCCATCATAAACCACTAATCCAAATTCTTGGCTTGTGAAATACCACCATTTTCTCTGGTGTTTTTTGTTCGTATCAGGGTAAGTAATCACTCCGCAGCATTCTGCCTACAGCCCCAGATCTTCAGGACGAAGTTGGTAGACCCGCACAAGCAGTATGACGCTTCCTCTGCGCTCTTTGGGGATCACGCCGAAAAAGTGGTGGAGAGACCATGGACCATGGAATTTAACCGACAAACGCATGGGTACAAAAAGTATAAATCAGACAAAATGGTTACTATAACGATGGTGATAGTGGCACTAAACATACCCAAGAATATATTATATTCGGGGGGTTCAATTCAAATATATGGCCTTTCGAAATATCAAAATGATGACTGACCAGTTTGTTGAAATGGGGTACCTTATTGTTGGACACACCCCTATGTAATTTGTCATCAAGGACAAAAAACAATCCAAAATAGATACGATGTGCCCCTGCAATTCGAAATTGGTTGATAAGGCCATCCAAAAATTAATACATATATATATATGGTTGGTGGTTTGCAACATGTTTGTTCCATCTATTGTGAATAGTCGTCCCAACTGACTAATATTTTTCAGAGGGGTTGAGACCTCCAACCAGATATATATATATACACATCTACGAAAAAAACATAAGTAAACATAGGTATAATCTAACAGAAACCCATCAAGCAGGGCCGCCCCCACATTGAAATTGATTTCCAACCATAGTCATACCACCATTTTTGTGGTTAAATCGCAATTTTTCATACCAACACTTACATTTCCTTTGCTAAATCTGGATTTTTGGTTGGTTTAATCCCTTCAATCTTTCTGAAAGATCTGCAGGAGACCCCAATTGTTGGGGGTAGATACCATGGTCTCTTGTCAATGTTGGATGGAGGGATGACGAGAGGTTTAGCCACAGTCTTATTATAAACCTTTTTAAACCAGCAAGATTCAAAGGAATCTTGTATTGGAAGTACGACTTTGCAACCATATCTATATACATATATATATAATTAAGTAAACATCATTAGGTTTACCATCGATCGGTCACCGATATTTTTCGGGCATTGGTCACGATGAAGATGACACATCCAGATGGCAATCGCTCAGGATGTTGCTGAATACATCGTGCGCAACTCCCCCTGCAACGCGGCTTGGAGCTGCAACGGGCGGCATTGGGAATGGGGTTGCCCGGGGTAACGTGATATAGAGAGCGTGTTTTATCAGTAAGTTAAGTATGACTTACGGTAGATATATCGAACTAGTTACCCTGGGCAAAACAACACACTGTAGATGTCGAAAATCACGATTTTACAAGGTCATCAATCCATAAATTGGCAAATTTCCACATCTCGTTTTACTCTAGGGCAATGATTTAAAGAGATTTACGGACCAACGGACATAATTGAGAGACACCACCTTGTATGGAAAAACTTTCCAGAAAATGATGCATGAATGATGGATTTTGACGGATTTTCCGGATATGTACGTTTATTTGCTCTAGTATTCGGGAAAATGGTGGTATGAATATGTATGAATATCATCCCAAAAATGTTTTCCCTTTCACATGTACCCTGGAAAATAGCTCCACAACTAGTAGATTTTCCATGGTATATGGGGTTCCAACCTGCTTTATGCCGTGGTAGGTGGTGGTGGTGAAAGACATTGAGCCAGAAGCCTCCCCCGAGACCGACGCAGGATGAAAAAGAGAAACGATGCTGCCGATGGGCAGAAGTGCCTAGAGTTAGTTGGCTTTCAAAGATTCAAACCATCTGTGCGTACATAACTCTAGCTATATACGTATTTTATATGCTATACTAGCTATACCTCTCTCTTTTACAGATGTTCAGGAAACCAAACAGATTCAAACAGGTATTTCTATAGTACTTAGTAGCTTCATAGTTCATAGTTCATTTCTTTTTTAGTCATCCCTTGAAGATTGTGGAATGCAACATTTGATCATTGGAATTGGCTTTTGCTTTCGCTTCTTCAAATCGGCTTAGGCTTTTCTATCCTGCAAGAATGGTTCTGGAGACTTCCTCCAGCCTGATCCCTTGGATAGTTTGACAACTTCACTTCGGTAGCGGTGTTTATAACTATATTCCGGCATTCATGTCTCTCACGAAATCAACCAAAGGATTTTTGAGTAAGACATTATTTTCAGTCAGTGAAAGAATTCTGAGGTATAGTTACAAAGGTCTTATTGTACTGTGGCATTTGCAGCTGAAATATTTATGTATTCCACATTGCTGATCACTTTGTCCCAGCATAGCTCATGCAGTTGACGAGCCTAACTGCGCCATCCATGCAGATAGACCACATCACTAGCTGGGATAGTTCATGGTCTGTGGCCGCAGTACAAAGCGATTTTGTTAAGCCCAGATTCTTGAAATGCCCCTCAATTTGGGACCGCTACCTGAATGGAGCCGAAACTAAACCAAGGGATCTAGGGGGGTAGTTAATATTAGGACAGAGGATTAATGGATCTGGTTTCATTGTGATATTCGTAGATTTCGTATTGCTGGTTATGTTCCCATTCTGTCACCATTGTGTCAACATACTTTGCACTGTAACTGTGTGTACACTAAACTGTTGTTGTACACTGTGTACATTATTGAGCATGTACAGATTTATATATATATATTAAGTAATGTACAGTATTGACAGAAATATAGAACTAACATGTACTGTACTGTAAATAGACAATATGGACGTATAGGCAATATAAACATTTATTTTGATGACAATGTATATATATATATAGGTATGTACGATTGTACTTCTATCTCCATCATATACAATCAGCAATGTTGTTCATTCGCTCCCCGTGGGATACAGCCGCTATGCCAGGGCGAGCTGCTAACCTTGTGGAGGATCCAGCAGGCAAGCTGAGCTTCAAGCGTAAGGATTCAAAGTTTCAATGTATTGGTTTCTTGCATGCTATGATATGTTATGCATTTAAAGTTTAAAAGTTTCAAGAGTATTCTGCTTGTTGTAAATGTTATTGTCTTGCCATTGAAATTAGATTAACAGGCGAATGCATTGGTCAGATTTACCGGGCACAACATGGTTCAAGGCGACGTATGATGATTGCCCCCGTGAAAGGTGTGTCTCCACTAAGGTCTATTAAGGTCTGCTTCAAGCACAGACAACCACTAAAGGCTCACGAACCAACGATTATTGGGTGGTCACCTTTGGTTGTGAGTGCTTGAATCCCCATGTATGTTCCTTCGCTGCAATGATGCTGAGTAGCCAGTCCATGTCTGAGAAATCATCACACTGTGTGCTGTTTGGAAACTGATGCTGTACCGTCTTTTGAGCAGATGCAAAGAACGGTTGGTTGATTAATTATAAGCGCTATATTGCTCCATGTATATACATGACAGTGTATATATATATACACAGCTAGCTGAATCTTGACATTATTCTTTGGGCATTAACAATGGCAATCCATGACGGGAATCCCAATAAACCGATCATTTTCATGAGGGCATCCCAGCTAGTTTGATGTTCACCAAGGTTCCACTTGGATGTGCATCCCCCGTCCAAGGAATTGTCCGCGGCTTATAACATTGTATATCCATAAATACTAACATATAACTGGTCATATTATGTTACATTAATGGGCTCAAAATATTTATAGGAATTGTCAAGCTAACTGGTCATATTCCGTAAATCTACCTCGGCTATTTCACGTGACTAGCCACTTACAAGTCCTGGGTCCAAAACACTAGCAGGTCAACAAAACGTATGATTTTTTTCACTCATAAAGCATGATGATTTGCAGATATCCTCCAGTGTCATCAACAGCTGGAAGATCCCCGAAGGTTTGTATGGGAAACTCATTTATATATGATCGATTTTCCAGCAAGCCATGTTTGATTCAGAGAAAATATATCAATTGTCCCATTATTATCCCCTGAATCCCTGAATATTCCACTAACTATGGATTCATGGATAGATAACAATCCATGAATATCCCAATCCAAGAAAACATATTAATCACTATTTCACTCTAGACATATCTACCATTTGTCCATGTATATCCCAACCAGAGTTGGCAGAACCTTTTGCTGGATTCGAACTATCTAATGAATCCATTCATCCAATATCTGCTATGAATAATCCATTAGATATTTACTTACCATTCATTCACTAATATCCATTATATATATATATATGTATACGTATATAATATGCATATCTCTAAGTACTTATATATATATATTTATACATATTAATAACATATCTATATGTTTATATACATTTATATTTCACATATATCTATACATGTATTTATATATATTACGTATATCTCTAGCTCTCTTTATATATATGATATATTTCTCTACCATTACTCATTGCTCCGTGGGGATATTCCACCAACAGACCGGCCGCACCCCAACCGTTCCAGACCCCACCGCCGCCCAACTCTCCGTCGCCCTGGACCACACCGGAGCCGCCCAAAAGCGCCCGGTCGCCGCAGGCGTGGCGATATCACCGGTGAGGAAGTGTAGAAACAACAGACTTACTGAGATTCAACCAATAAACATGGTGATTTAATCAAGAAAAAATTGGATTTCATGGGATTTCGCCCTTTAAAAGTTATAACATGTTGTTTGATGTTGCTTGGATATGCTAATGAATGTGTGTTATCATTCCATAAATGGGATTATAACCGACTTACAACTGTACCTTATATGATCTGATTTTTGGGGCGTTGTGTATAATTTGAAGTAGAGTGAAATTGGATGAGAACGAAGATCTACCTGGTATTTACCGAGTTTTTTCGATGCTGGATATCAGGTCAAAGATAACTTAAAATTGCAATGGTGATGAAAGGGTTCAACATGAGGATCTAGCCTAACTAGCAGGAGAAACCTTGAACTCCCCCGAATTGGATGGGTGTTGAACATCAGATATGATCTCAAACTTTGACCTCCAGGCAGCACCTCCGTCCTGGCCGGTTTACCCCCCTGCCTGGGGGTAAACATTCATATGAACATTCATATGAACATTCATATGAACATACATCTACACCTGCACCTACACCTACACCTACACCTACATCTACATCTACACCTACACCTACATCTACATCTACATCTACATCTACATACATCTTACAGACATATAGACATACGGACATGCATGCATGCATACATACAGACAGACATACAGACATACAGACATACGGACATACATGCATACGTGCATGCATACATACATACAGACAGACAGACATACAGACATACAGACATACAGACATACAGACATGCAGACATGCAGACATGCAGACATGCAAACATGCAGACATACAGACATACAGACGCACATGCATACACAAAGTTGGGCGAATTGATGCTCAATGTCGCAACAGTTTCCGTCCACTTTTTTCAACAGCAAGAAGCCCAAAAATTGATAATTGCCTGAAACTGCAGTGTTTGAATGTGTTTGAAGCATCACAATTCGTTAGTCGCATTTGTTTTGGTTGTCGTCCGTGACGGCCCCTCCGCATTCCTGGAAAGTCAAAATTGCAGACACTGCTGGAGAACATGGCAAGAAGTTACAATGCTAAATGCTGATGCACGGGTAGACGAGATATCAACGTTGCACGTGGAGCAGGCATGTTCACACAAAAAGCAGTTGCTGCTTCTTGTCATTAAAAATCACAACCAAGAGGAAACCGCCTTTAACATTCCAGCCTGTCAAAGCGGCCGTGGACAAAGACACAACCCACACAACCCACACAACCCACACAATCCACACAACAAACACAACAAAGACATCTATAAAAAAAACAACAAACACCACCACAACAACAACAACAACAACAAGAACAAGAACAAGAACAACAACAACAAGAACAAGCACAAGAACAAGAACAACAACAACAACAACAGCAACAACAGCAGCAGCAGCAACAGCAACAGCAACAGCAGCACCGGCAGCACCGGCAGCACCGGCAGCACCAGCAGCACCAGCAGCAACAGCAGCAACAGCAGCAGCAGCAACAGCAACAGCAGCAACAGCAACAGCAGCAACAGCAGCAACAGCAACAGCAGCAACAGCAGCACAGCAACACAGCAACAGCAGCAACAGCAACAACAGCAACAGCAACAACGGCAACAACAGCAACAACAGCAACAACAGCAACAACAACATCAACAACAACAGCATCAACAGCAGCAACACCAGCAACAGCAACAACAACACCACCAGCAGCGGCAACAGCAACAACGACAACAACGACAACATTAACATGAACAGTAACCTAAGCGTTACCATCATCATCCTGACCATCATCATCTTCATCACCACCTTCATCGTCGTCATCATCATCATCATCAGCAACAACAACAACAACAGTCCTCTGTAGGATATTCCCCTTAATTGAACGCTTTAATGACTGTAGGGTTTTCCGGGGGTGGGATGTACAGTAATACCCTCTTCATATAAACCTTAATCCCTTTTATGAACTCTTCAACGAGTACCACAAACGTTTTATGCTATATAGATACACCTATGGATAAAACTGTATGTAGATTGTTCCCCAGTCCACGTACGGATTCCGCCCTTCGCGCGGGACAGCCTGGGGGTACAAATATATTTTTTTTTATTAAATAGATGATGTATACATGCATGTCACTAGGTATATTCAGACATATGTGGTTTATTCATATATACATATATATATATATGT